TTGGGTGTTTACCGCGTCCTCTAAACAAACCGGGTGGCTCAATACGGAAATTTCCAACCTTTTCTTTACGGCCATCCAAAATACAATAAGCATATTGTGATTCGAGTTTAAGCTTTTCCTCCTTTATTTTTTGTTTTTCCTCTTTTGACAAGGCCTTTTTTCGTTCTTTCTCTTTTTCAAAATAATCAAATATAGGAGTAAAATCGCAATGCTCATGATCTTTATCATAATTGCGAATGGGCGGATTCTGCAAAATTTCATGTAAAATTTTAGTAAATAAATCTTTCAGTAAATAAATCTTCAATCTGTTAAAAAATCGGTTTAAAGATTACCTTATTCGATTTTTTAAGAATCGTAACCCAATCAGCAAAGAAATTTCTGCGAAATGTTTCGTTTTGTACATGCTCCGAATTTAGCATGGCAGCATAAAAACTTGCAACTTCTTCAGCTTCTGGTTCCAAAAAAACTTCTTCACCTTCATTTATTAAAATTATGAGATACAAATTTTTAGCAAATATATGCTATTTAATTAAATAACGAGGGAATAAATAAATTCTTACCTTTGAACTTCATTTTAACACCGTGTGGAACATATTCCGGTGGAAATAGAACCCCATTATGCTCCAAAGTTTGCCATTTCACCGTGCCATCTCCTTGAGCATTCTCTTTCCACCATTTATATTCTTCGTCTTCCTCCTCTTCACTTTGATCATCTGGAGACGATTCTTGTTTTTTTTGTTTTCCCTTTTTGGAAGACGCCTTCCCTACACTGGCTTTAGATGTTTTCGATTTTGCAGGTGACTTTTTACCATTCTGACGAACAGGTTTCTTTTCTTCTTCAGAAGCTTCAGACTCTTCGGACTGTTTGGCTTGTTTTGTCCTTTTAGATTGAGGCTTAACTTTTGAAGATGAAGATTTGCCCCCATTTGTTTTTGATATGGTATCAGACTCCGAATCTGAAGAAGATTCCGACTCGATCTTACGTTTACGCTTAGTATCATTTCCTGTAAAATAAAAATTAATTATGGCATATAATTGTAATAAACTAATCGGTTATAAATTACCTTTGACTGTCTTTTGATTTTTTTTACGTTGAGCGAGAGGCACTTCATCGGGAGCGTCAAGAACCTATGAGGTTAATAAAATATTTCCAGTTATTGATTCCAATAAAAAGCTAATTATATCATACTTGCCTCTTCGGTTTTCTTTGCCTTTCCCTTGGAATCTTTTAATTTTCTGCGTCGTTGGGCAATAGGAATTTCATCTGCATCCTCTTTTTCTACCTTTACATCATTCATCTCAACATCACCCTCTTTTTCAGCTTTAACATCATTCATCGCAACATCATCCTCTTCTTTAATCTTCACATCATTCATCTCAATATCATTCTCAATAGCTTCCTTTTTTACCTTTTCAATCTCTCCTTCATCGTTTACTACTTTTTTTTCTTCATCCTCTTCAGAATCACTAAAAATGACCTATTTTGATTCCAAACGATTATATTGTTTTATTTGCATGGTAAGTATTTAATATGAAACAGGTAGTTCGATCATTTACTTTTTTTTTATTACGAATAGTCTTTTTGCCATTTGTTTGGAACGTTTGGGAAGGCTTGCCGTCGGCCTCAGAATCTAATTCTTCCCATTTTCTTTTAGAGCTTGAGTTTTTGTTTTTATCAAAGGTCTTATTTCATAAAGGCAAGTTAAAGAACTAAGCTTATGAAAATATTTTTTCAAACAAGTGTAATTGGTTATTGAAGTCAATACCTTTGTTTCAGATTTGTTTTTTGTAGATTTTAAATCATCTAAAAAATTTAAGCCAATTTCCAATTTGTTTATAAAAAAGATTATGCGAAAGACCAAAAAAAATAAAGAATTCAAAGAGAATTTACTTTTAACGGTTGTACGTGTATTGGTACGCGTAGAACGACGCACTTTTTGAAGTGGGGCCTCGTCTTCTGCGTCTGCCATGTTTTCAGAAGAGAGTAAAACTACGTTGAAAAAATTTGCTTGTCAACTGAGTATACTGTTGTAATTTTTTAAAAAGCAAATGTAATAAGAATAATGTTTGGTTTGTGTGTTTGTCCTCGGACCTATTTTCACTATTTTTTGGAATCATCTATCAGCCACACAATTCTGGAAAGGCGGTACGGGAACTTTCGGAGTGGCGGGTGTTACGACCCAGTTGGGAATTTAAAATTATTAATGAAATTATCCCTAATTGAAGTTTCTATTTTTATAGTGATTATTAATTTTCTTAAATCTATTTTACTATATAATTAGATATTTCATCAAAATTAGTGATTATTAGTTTTCTTAAATCTATTTACTATACAATTAGATATTTCATCAAGATTTGCTATTGGCAGGTGATTTTTGCACGTTTTCGTGTATCGAGAGCACCGGCAAGGTCTGACTTAATTGTAAAATATGCGGTGTTAAATGCGTGAAAAGCCGTAAGCAGCCATATTTCTCTTTATCATCAGCACTTGTTAATAAAGTTGTAAAAAAATCACTTGATAATTTTCTTTATCATATACTTGAAAAAAGACGAAAAATCTTTAGAGTTTGACATTGCCTAAATATAATCAAGTCTCTATGGCATATTTTTCCAATCGTTTCCGAAAAACTCGGGTGCACTTGTGAATCTTTCCCGAACATGACACAATGGAAAGACCAGGTTAATCCGTCCCAATTTGAACAAAGAAAAACGAAGTGTCAATCCAAATATCTTTTTTTTGACTCTACTGAATTTCCAAATTGGGCCTGTAGCAAAAAACGGCGACTTCACATGGCTATCTAAATAAAGATTCAAGGACTGATGATTGATATTAACTAGACACACACTTTTTGTTCAGAGTCGCGACCCAGGCGAACAGTAAAAGGACCGTCAATATCCTACCTAATACCAGCGATTTCAAAATCTGGCTTCCTTATGAAAGCTGAGCTAATGATCACAACCACTCTAATAAAATTGCCAAGCTAAATAAATACATCATGACTGGAAACTTTGTCCATTTTGGGGTTCCTTTAACTGGCTTCACTTTGGAATTCACTACAAATAGAATCACGTGCGCTCTAAGCAGTAATCTTCGTAAATATTGCACTCTCAAAGAGAATCTATGACAAGAAAAGTGTTCAAAGGAGAATTAAATTAGAGCAACATAATAAAGAAGCAACAGAAAAAAAGGCTTTGTCGTATCATATTCATTTTTCAGAGTAAAACTTATTGAACAATTTTTCAAATGCTGACGATGGAAGAACGAACACAGATTGAAGCTTTTCCTGTGGATGGATCTCATAGTTCTCGCGGATTTTTCCACGTTGATAGTTTTGCAGGAAATTAACCATTGAAATGACGGTTTAAACGAATAAAATTTTTAAGCAGTAGTTAAAATGAAGAATGAAAACATCAAATATGTTTGACTTACCGCATCTTCACCGATTCATTTGATAAAGTTTGTCAATTTTAGTGTCATATTGTTCACAGACGCGCAAAGGCTCTTCAAGACGAAGTTGAAAAATAGCGATCTCGATATAACGGATGGGTTCGGGCAATCAGAGAAAAAATTTCAAAAATCCGCTATATCGTGAGTTTTATTAGTAAATCCGTTATATTGAGTGAGATTTATTACTTTTGAACCTTTATCCGTTATATCGAGGTTTTAATTAGTCTCCGCTATATCGAGAGTCCGTTGTATCTCTAATTTCATTGGTCGATTTCAGATTTCTGCTTCAGCCGCCACATTTAAATACGCAATGGCTCTCTTTAGTACCTCCTTATATAGTGGAGACTAATTAAACTCACGATATAGTGGATAATATCCAAAACTACCCTTAATAAAATCCATTCGATATAGTAAATTTACTAATAAACTCTCGCTTTTTGAGAATTTTTTACTATTAGATTTTTTTGATACCTTCATTGTGTATTCCCGAATGTTTCGTGCCCACATTCACATTCCGGTTCCACAAAGTTAGACAAGCACTTCGACATACTTTAATGCATAAATAAGTTGTGGCTTGTCGAACCAGCATTAGAGCAAATCTGCGAAAAATATAGAATAGTTAGAAAATACCCAATTTATGAAATTCTTTAGAAACTAGAAACTGAAAACTTGGGATATTCGAAACTCAGAAACAAGTTAGTAGAGCTACATCTCTTCGGTTCTGCAAAGAGTTGTTTTTACAGAACCTGGTGCATGTTCTCGTGAAGAGAAAGAAAAACCGCCTGCACGAAGGCAATAACTACTGAATTATAAACATCCAATGATACGTTGACATATAATAGACATGGCTTTAACCCGTGAAAACTTTTTTTTTAGCAACATAATAAGTGTGTAATTATGCTTGTAAATGACCAACATAATGAGCTTTGAAGGAAGTTGATATTACGTTTTTAATCACTTTTTTTTTGCTTGCGAGAGTTTTTACAATATTTTTAACTTGGATGAATCAAAATTTAAACATTAATAAGAGAACTGACATATATTATCTCATAATTATTTATCAAAAAAGATATTCCCTCTCCCCTTTTCAACCTGAGATATTTTATATATGATTTTATGATATTGTAATTTATTAAGACCTGAGATTTTGCCAGATTTCTTTTCTTTCTTTCAATATAAGATAATGTATGTTAATGTTCTAACTAATCTTGAATATAGCAAAATAATTGACTTTTTAAAGATACAATTCTTTATATTATTTAATTTAAATAATCTGATAAAGTTAGTATTATATTCTTATAGATAATATTATTATATATTAATTTTAAAATATAAAAAATCTAGTTAATATGATAAAAGAGAAATGAATTGGATTATTAAGTAAAATTGGATACTTTTCTAAGTACTATAATAAATGCTTTTTAGTTTTTAAATAGTATAATATTATTATTAGTTTTATATTTATTTAAGTATAATATAATATTATTTTAGTCAAAAAGATAATAGTATATTATACTTATATTAATTTATCTGTAATTTCTTAAATTAAAAAGATTATTTTAATTTGCATTATTCAAACAAATATTTTTTATTTGGCTTTTCTAAGTATATTGATATTTTAATTAAGAAATAAAATAAGAACTTGAAATTAAAAAAAAATTAAAATTATTTGAATTTAAAATTTTTGCAAAAATATTACTAAAAAAATATAACTAATATTTATAAATTTTTTATATTAATTAATATATTTAATATATTTTTTTATATTAAACAAGATATTATTATATAGTTACACTTTTCTAAGTATATTCTTTCTAAGTTATGTATTATATTACTCCTTTTTAAATATATAATATATTCTGATTTCAGCTTATAAAAGCTTTATATATTTTGATCTTTATAAATATATATTCTTTTTAAATGTATATTTTTTATTTTTTTTACTATAATTTCAAGAAAAATATACTTAGAAAGATATAATTATATATAATTAAATTTAAATATAATAAATTTAAAAATAATGAATTTGTATTTATAATAAAATTTTGATCAGTTTAAATTAATTATTTTAAAAACTAAATATAATAAATTTTAATATAAAATCTATATATTAAAATAAATTTTAAGTAAAATTTTCTTTATCTAATAAAATTTTAATAAAATATATATATATATATATATATATATATTATAATCTGTAATATTAATATTAATATTAATTAAAATTATTATTTATAATAATTTTTATAAATTTAAAATTTAGATAAATTAAAAAAAATTAAGTCTTAAATTAGAAATAAAATATATAGTATTATTAAATTAATTATATAAAAATATAATTAAGAAAATAATTATTTAAATTATTACTTTTTATTAGAATTTAAAGAAATTATAATAACTTATCTTTTTATATTATTATATTATTATATTTTTTTTCTTTTATAATATATTATTATTTTATATAATTTCTAATTTAAATTATAATATAATCAAGATTAATTTCTAAATTAATTCAAATATATTATTTAAATATTTATAAATAAGTTACTAATAAATTTTTATTTAAACTATTCAAACTAATTTTAAATATAATATATTATTTATTTTATATATATAGTGGTGATTAAAAGTAATGACTTAGAGATTAAGTTTACTAATAAAATATAATGAAAATTGAAATTTTCTCTCTATATTAAAATTTATAATTTTAATAAGAAATAATTTTT